GTTGTCAACTAAAACCAAAGTTTTTGACCTTGACCTTTGACCTAGGAAGTTGTACATACATTATGACACACCCTCTGGTGTTGGTTAATATACATGTCAAGTATAAACTTTGAAATCATAACGGTTCTCAAGATATAGAGCGGACACGATCTTTACCATAGGACATGGGGTTGTCAACTAAAACCAAAGTTTTCGACCTTGACCTTTGACCTAGGAAGTTGTACATACATTATGACACACCCTCTGGTGTTGGTTAATATACATATCAAGTATAAACTTTGAAATCATAACGGTTCCCAAGATATAGAGCGGAAATGATCTTTACCATAGGACATGGGGTTGTCAACTTAAACCAAAGTTTTTGACCTTGACCTTTGACCTATGAAGTTGTACATACATTATGACACACCCTCTGGTGTTGGTTAATATACATATCAAGTATAAACTTTGAAATCATAATCAAACTGGGGGTGATCTCAGGTGCTCCGAAAAGGTAAGCAGATCCTGCTTAACATGTTCCACCCGTATATATTTTTACCTGTTGAACTTGCAAGCTGTAACTTTTTTTTTGTAAAACAAAATGATAAATTACTTCTGATTAAAGAAAAATAAAAACTTTCGTTTTTCTAAAAAAAATATTAAAAAAACATAAAAACAAAATCTGATGTTATGTTAATTTATGTTACTACGAAGCACATGGAGCACTCCATTCTCCTTGTTTTGTTTTAATCCACCATTTTCTACATAAGAAAATGCCTGTACCAAGTCAGGAATATGACAGTTGTTTTCCATTCGTTTGATGTGTTTGAGCTCTTGATTTTGCCAATTGTTAAGGGACTTTCCGTTTTGAATTTTCCTTAAAGTTCGGTATTTTTGTTGTTTGACTTTTTGTTATTGTTATATATGAACGACAGTTGGATACTTGAACTTAAAATTAAGTTGTGTTTCGGTTTCTATTACAGCTTGCAAGTTCAACAGGTAAAAATATAAATTATGTTTTCCTTTTGTACTTAGATGTCAACGGATGTTATATACGTTTAACGGTCACCATCACGAACTGGTTGACCGATTCAATCACTACAAAAGTCTAAAAGTCTGAAAAGACCAGTTTTTGTCTTAATTTGCGTGAACTTTTACTCGACATTCTCCAAAAGTATGACTTGTGTCTTAATTTTTCTTGACAAATTCTCATTTATATTACATTTGTATGAAATTTACTCGATATGTTTTCGACATTCTGAATATGGTCTTAAAATTTCTTGACAAATTCTTGACATTTGAATACTGTCTTGAAATTTCTCGACATATTCTCGACATTCTTATTTTTTCTCAGTATGGCTTGATATATTCTGAACATTTTGAATCGTGTCTTAAATTTACTTGACAGTTCTGAGTTTTACAAATCATGACCAATATTCATGATATAACTTTAATCTTTATTTCTCTTTATATGATATACTGTTGTTTCAAGTTACACTTCTTTACAACAAAAATAAAAGTTGGGCATGTAAAATAATTGAAAATTTGGGTATATAAATATTTTTACAAATGCAAATATGGCTATGAAATCTAAAGTATAAAATAATTCAAATGTGGGTGTGTTGATATAAAACAATTTCAATGTGGGTTTTTAAATAATTACAAATTTTGATTCCTAAATCTTATAAATTAAATGATTCAAACCAATCATACTGTAGACATATTTCATTCTACATTCATAATATTCAATGTTGATATGGTAAATAATTACTATACCAAAATGTGGTTTATATTAATAGCAAATTATGATGATATACAAATCATTCATTTAACAGAAGAAAAATTTGTGTAATGTCATCTGTTGGAATATATTAAGTATTACACATGGACAGGATGTTCCCCATAAAATTTAGGTATTCCACACCCCAGAGTACACGCAACTGTCAAATAGAAGTTATTGCTTTACCTGTAATCAGCCATACAACTTATCAGTTGACCGACCATGCCACTACAATTTAAAAAGTTTGTTGATAGATGAAAATGAAAATCATCATTTTGATGAAAAAATTGAATTGAAATGGATTTTCTTCATCAAAATTATGAAGTTAATTATTTTAACATAAAAACAAATTGAATAATTCCCAAAGATTAAAAGAAAATTATTATCTACTCCAGGAATAATTAAAAAAATGTATTTATAATGGGTCCCATCAATGATTTCTATAGAAATCATCGGTCTTATGAAATGGTTCTCAAACAGACATGCATAATATAAATCTAAACATTTTTTTCTTTTCAGGAAGGAGTTATCACAAATATTTATTTTTGATAAAAAATTATAAAATTCAACACTCAAATTTGAATAAAAAATGTTTTTGGGTTGTTCTAAAAAATGATTAAGGTTTTTGAATCAAGATGGGAACAAATTCTTTGACCTAAACGAAAGCCCCTCCTCTTTTTTTAGCCACACAAACCCAAAAGATGAATTGTGGGGTCCAAAAGAGAGACAAGACACCTATTTTAGTAAAGCAAATTTGACTGGCAGGTTTGCGAACGGCAAAAATCTAAATGCTGTTTGTCAATACCTTCGACTTATATTCCAAGTGAAAACAATTACTTAAATGTTTAATAAAAATAAATTAAAATTAAACTACATGGGGGATTATTCAGGGTATTCCAACTTAGTTGCACCAAAAGGGTATCTTACTATACCAAATTAATCCTTGATTCTTCAAAGTTTAGTTTAGCCATAATAAAAAGGAGTATACAACAGCAATAGAATGTCATAAACAGTGCAGAATAAGTCTGTTCACATTTCAGGCGAAATTTATACTGTTGAGATAGTGTCAAGACATATTTAAGACTGTCAAGAATGTGTCGAGACATATTCAGACATTATTTAGAATGTCAAGAATATGTCGAGACATATTCAGACATTATTAAGAAGGTCAAGAATATGTCAAGACAGATCGAGACAAATTTAAGACAGTCAAGAATTGGTCGAGACTAATCCAGACTCTTATCAGATGATACAGGAAGTGTCGAGAAATTTTAAGATAATGTTCATACTGTCAAGACACTTGTCAAGAAAAATCAAGAACCTTATTAGACAAATTCATACTATGTCAAGAATTTTTAAAAATTATTCAGACAAATTAAGAATGTCGAGTAAAAATTCATGCAAATTCAGACAAAAACTGGTCTTTTCAGACTTTTTGACTTTTGTAGTGAATGTGTTGGAGTCTCAACTCAGAAGCGACTTTTGTTCGTGGTCTGTGATCTTTTGTTACCAAATTAGTCGTGTAAACCTTTGTTTTATCATTTCTGTCTTCTTCTCGATCGTGAAACTTTTACTGATTATGAATTTGTATGGTGCATAATGCATGCATAGCATAACACGCTTATCCTGTATCATCGTTAGACCTAATAGTAAGACCTGACTAATGAAAGAACTGTTAGTTTGAAAAATCGTTACGTCCAGTGTCAATTAAGTTGAGTTTCTGTTTCCATTAGAGCTTGAAAGTTCAACAGGTCAAAATATAAATTCTGTTTTCCTTTTGTACTAAGATGTCAACGGATGTTATACTTCTGCCTTGTAACTGTTTTGACTATTTTTGTTTTTTTTTTATTTTGTTTTTTTAATTTTTTTGGGGGGTTTTTTTTTGGGTTTTTTTTTTTTGTGTTTGCGGCTTTTGATTTCGTTTGCGTTCGTCTGTAAACCAAAAAACTTTTACTTCGTTTTCTTCTTTTTTAAACGTAACAAGTTTATCTTTGAGATTTTTATCCTGCAGTAGCTTATAGCAGTGACGGTGGAATATCTCCTTTAAAGTAAATATTTCAAGAAGACATCTATAGAAATTAGAAGATGTTGTATGAGTGCCAATGAGACAACTCTCCATCAAAGTCACAATGTGTAAAAAGTAAACAATTATAGGTCAAAGTACAGCCTGCTAATCAACAATGAATAATTAAGTGTTGTAGATATTATTGAAAGGTGAGACCAAGCGGAATTGTTTTCATTCTGGTCGTTTTATCTTTATTCTCAAGAAGGGTAATTCTATTCTTGTTTTGGTTCTTTACGCTGTGGAACAACAGTTATGAACATTATAAAAGACATCATTATAGACTTCAATATCGTATCCAAATATTCATCATTTTCTCCCGAATTTCAAATTTCACATTATTTAGCTTGAAAAAACACTGTTTCTAAGGACTTTGTTTGCGTGGATAGATTTGCTGTTCACTTTCTAAAATTTTGTTTTTGTTCTTCTTACTTTTGATTTGTAAAATTATCTCCCGATAATTGTTTTAAAGTTTTCTCCACAAATGTATGTATTCAAAGTACGTATTTTTGTTGCATCATGTAATAAATTTTAACAGCTCGTACTCAAAAAATAAAATGTATTTTTCTATATTTGTTTGTATAGTTTTGTTATTACTTTTCATTTATGAAATTTAGAAAATTCTGTTGGGTAGTCATAGAAGTGTATTACTTGTACTTCGCATCAAGTCATTGTATACTGACGTTCCTAATTTTAGTTCTTATGACATGTGCATTTGCATATGGTCTAGCGTAAATACTCTCCAAGACGAGTACATTTAACACCCGTCACACTATATTTTTTTATGTGGACCTTACCGCTTTTTATGAATAATTTAAGATCTCAAATTGATATGCATATATAATATATATAAATATAAGAAGATGTGGTATGAGTGCCAATGAAACAACTCTCCATCAAAGTCACAATTTGTAAAAGTAAACCATTATAGGTCAAAGTAAATCAACATTTTGAGCATACCGATGCGCTTATAATCACCGTCACTTTTACTGTTTATGTAAACATGTTTTTTGTCAGAAAGTTCTTCTTTAAACTATGTCAATATCAAAACTGAATCTGTTTTCAACACTGCCTTTCAGTCATTTATATTTCTGCTACATATTAGTTGATTGATCGATTTTTGAGTCGTTAACTTGTCTGTTGTAGCTTCGAACATATACAGATTATTGACGTTTGACACACAGACAGAAAATGCATTGCAAATGAAAGGTTAGGAATTAATCGTTTCTAAATTAACTTATGTTACATTCATCTTTTACTATTTGCTGCTTCTATTTTTCATCATTTTTTATTTTTAGAAAATTATACCATCAAATGATATCCATATTTGTGTATGTTGTTGTTATACATTTTCATTCAGAACTGAATATCAACATATCAAAAGCATCAGAGCAGTATATTCCGTGATGATCAAACCATATTGTTAAATTACAAAAAAAACTCCTCTTGATTTCTAATGTAGAATGATTTTAAAAGCGTGATGATTACTTAATAAATCAAATCAAAGGTGTGACTGCAGAAATATTAAAATATCTACAACAAATACATTTAAAAGCATGATACTTAAATCCAATCATTGTATTGGAAAATTCTGTAAGACTCTCTTAACTTTTATTACTTAAAGGTTAATATTATATTCTTCATTTGTTGTTTATCATAAAACAATTATATACCTACATGGAGTTATTTCCTTTCAGAACGACAGTTCATTCTTTTGAAGAAACAACCTGGCCGATACCAAGTTTCAATTAAATGTGCTTCAAGGCATAAAATAATGACCTGTGTCTGGTCATTATTTTCCCTGATTAAAATGCAAAACTACAGATTACTAAATCATTTAATCCGTGAGTTTTTGTTAATTTGGTTTTATAGTACTATTTTCTATTTTTTAAACTTTCAAAAACATTAAGAGAGAAATAATTCTTTCCTCCGTGTATTAATACCCTTTACTCTTTTGAATGACAAAATATTCCTATTTTCTACAAGGGAATAGCCACGTTTTTTAAAGGGCGGAGCTATAATATTTCATCCTGATTCTGAGTTTTGGAAGACAAAAATGTATTGCCAGACAAAAGGGAGAAAAAATTATTCTGAAAAGTTCGTTAAAAATTGTTGAAAAAATAATCTGCTTTTCCGCGATAAAAATGTCATGAAACAAGAGAAAAAACACAGCACCCCTTTTATAAAGATTATATGATAAATTACCTATAAAGTGACTTGTATTTTTCGTACATCTTAACAAATCTTGCTTCATGCAATTACTATATATACAATTTATATTGTAATTAGAACATACTCACCCCTTCTCGTCAAATAAAAAGTCAGTTTTTTCTCTTCTAATTTTCATGCTACATGGCTTTCCATGCATAATAAAATGCTATACATGAATGGCTTTTCATTGTAGGTTAATTATGAAAGTGAACTCTTAATAACTACACTAACGAAGTGTACAATCCCCTGAGACATTTTCCTTGGGGAAAATATCCTACTGATTAAAGATGAAATAGAAAAGAATTATAAAAAACGTTTTGAATTTGTAAAGTGTTTATAATGGTACATATATATAACAAACAAAAAAGGAAATGGGGGCAAAGATGTAGGAAAATAATCTTTTATTCAATTTTATACCAGACATTCGAGTCAATTATTATTTTTTTTTTTCTTTGATGAAAACAATGTCAGACTGTTGATATAAAAAGCAACTGATTTTTTTTTCGAAAAAAAAAACACAATACATGTACATTCATCAATAACAAGTAAGCATCTGATTTTGGAGGGTCGTAATTCAAAAATTTGTAGAGTGAGTTTATAATTATCAAAAAAATATACAAATTTCAAAAAGCGGATTTATATAACATTGTTTGCTTTTTAAAATCAAGAAATTTAAGGTATATTAGTATTCAATTTTACCGGAAGCAGAAGACAAACTCAAATGTTTGTACAATTTATCCTTTTTGTCCTCACAAACTATGTCAGTGCTACCTCATTCCATCCATTGAAATGAGCATTACCTATGGTATACAATCACTTCATAATAAAAAGTTAACTCTTATTTAGGTTTGAATATTACAATGTGAAATGATAATTTTGTAAGGTCACTCGAAAGTGTGAATATGTTCTAAATTGGTCAGACAATACTTGGTCATGTTTTATGAACATTTAAAGCCCTCGGCTACGCCTTGGGCTTTAAATCTTCATAAAACATGACCAAGTATTGTCTAACCTATACTTGGACAGTAATTTCTAACGTTTATACGTGTATCTTGATTAATTAGTGAGTTGTATTTCACATTAAAAATGAGCCATTGGGTGTTGTTATACCTAAATAAAGGCAATAGTAGTATACCGCTGTTCAATAGTCATAAATCGATTTAACTAAAACAAATCCGGGTCACAAACCAAAACTCAGGGAAACACATCAACTATAAGAGGAAACAAAACGGAACAACAGAAACACTGAACTGCTACAAAAACAAACGCCAACATACGTGATAATAATTGCCATATTCCTGACTTGGTACAGGACATTTGAAGAAAAAATAGTGGGTTGAACCTGTTTTTTTAATTGCTAGCCAAACCTCCCGCTTTTATAGCAATGTTAAAAATACCGCTAAATTGACAACATTACGTGACAGGAATAAAGTACAAATAAATGCAAGAACATTCAGGACAGAGAAATACATCAATAAATAATATATAATAGTCCATTCCAACATGTAAGACATAAACATTTAAGAAAAGAATATCCCACTTCAAAGTGATCGGTAAAATAGGATACAATTCCTGGAAATCTTTGCATAAAATGATATTTTTTGAAGGTATATAAGTCAGATAATGCAACACCTCGTACTGTCAGGATTGCCAAATGAAAGACCGACCTACGGTCGGTCATTCATTTGTACAATCCTGACAACCTTCGGTGTGTTATACAACAAGAAACACCTTTAAATATGCATTATCTATAACATAACATTTATCTTTTCAAAATTATCGTATTTTATATCTTTAAATATTGATTGGATATTGATTATGCTATTTTCAATATCAGATTTTTATTCCAAACGCAGCAATAACATAGCCGCTTTCTCTTTTTTCTTTTTTTTTTTACAGTAAACCAATATAGCAAATGCGATCGAGTAGTTTTTGTTATTCATTGTTACAATACGGGGTCATAAGGAAACTATTATATATCGAAACCGCATATTTTTTCTCAAAATGATTTCGAGTAATTATAATTCAAGAAAGACGAATTATAACTTGATTGTCGTTTTATTGATACTAACTTCATATATTGATCTTTTGTATCGATATTTACACAGATGGACGACTTTTCACACTAGAATCTATCACAAACGTGATGATTTCAACTTTTAAAGTTTCAACTGTCTATTTCTCAGCAGTAACATATCAACTGATCCATCGTAAGGTGTTTACATATTTCAATTAATACGTAACGCACGTGCGTGTTTCCAAAATTACTACTGATTAACAGGGGAATGCTCCTTACACAAAGAGTTTTGAGGAAGAACGAATGAAATCGACACGGGTAAACTTATCAATCCTTTAAATAAACTTGTTCTAAAAGGTTACCAATTCAACACTGTATTTAGATCTTTGAATTTTGTTTTATTGGTATAAATATTTTGTTATCAGCAAAATAAAATCATACTAAATAGTTTTGTAATACACATATGCTCATTAACTATACTACAGTCTGTCGATACCTTTATTTTGGCATTGCACAAGGTCATGTTTTTCTCTGTCTGTTAATGACGTCTTTACACTAAATTCATTGGATATTGGATCTATACTGATAGATATTTTAGTCTTAGATACATAATTTTTTCATTGGTTATTGTTGTCTTTGAACTGGTTGTCAGTAACTGCGAATACTCTCAGATCTGTACTTATTGTCCTTTTTGTTGTTACGGATGAGGAATGGATAAATACCCTGCCACGTCCGGTCTGTGTTTATGTTTGACGTTTTTCTTCTTTGCATCGATCTGACGATTTTATCCTTTTTCGACTAATTTTTATAGTTTGTTCTTATGTTGTGCTGTTACACCACTATCGTAGGTTGGGTGAGGATTGAGCGCTCACAGGCGTGTTGGACCCCGCCACATTCTTTATGTCCCTGTCCCAGATCGGGAGCCTGTGGTTCAGTGGTTTTCGTTGGTTCATGTCAGTCATGTTTGTTTTTCGTTAATTATTTTGTTGTAGGTTAGGCCGTTAGTTTTCCCGATTGAATTATTCATAATTGTCATGTCGGGCCTTTTATAGCCGACTATATGGTATGGGTTTTTCTCATTGTTGAAGACCTTACGGTTGCCTATAATTGCTTACATCCACTTTTTTGAACTTTGGTGAATAGTTGTCTCATTGTCAATCACACCTCATCTCCTTATTTTTATACTTCATAGGTTTAACGGTCACCATCACAAATTGTTTGACCGATACGATGCGTAGATGTCTCAACTCAGAAGCGAATTATTTTAGCGGTTTATGATCTTTAGATATTTTTTGAATCGTGTTATCTGACTGATTCTGAATTTGCATGGTGGGTGATGCATGCACAACACGAGACGCTTATCCTGTCGACACACCCTGTCTCAATCTTGCTTGGTGTTCATGCGATTTTTACTTTTATTATTTTCTTTTTAATAGATTAACGAGATTTAAACATCGGTAAACTACTGTCTTCTTAATTCATATATCAGCTGTGATATAAATTTTTTATCACATATGTTGTACTGATATGTACGTTTTTGCATGGCCATTAATAGCCGGAAGTCAAGATTGGTTATCAGCCCTCGGGGCTGATATCGATATCAGCCCTCGAAAACCCATATCGTGCCCCCGTGTTTGACTTCCGGTAACCTGTCAATCAAATACTATTTGTAAACAAGATGGCAACTGAAGCAGACGATGACAGGTTTCTCACAGTATCGAATGATGATACCAGTAATTTCATTGAAGAAATGAAAAATGATAACACAAAGAGAAAAACTAAAAGTGACGTAAAATTATTAACTGAATGGTTAAAGGAGAACAACGAATTACGGGCAGTAGAGGATATATCTGTACCTGAACTCAATCAGTACTTAGCCAGATTTTACTTGTCTGTCCAGTCTCGGAAAAATGAGGAGTATGAGCCGGACAGCCTGAAATCGATTCAGTCATCGATTAATAGGCACTTGATGGAAAAGAATGGAATAAATATTCTTAAAGATAAGGAATTTCACCACAGTAGAGAGGTGTTATCCGCGAAAAGAAAGCACTTGAAGTCACAGGGACTTGGGAACAAAAAGCTGAAAGCAGATCCATTCTCATCCACTGAAATAGATATGTTATTTGAACAGAATCTCTAGGAACAGGTAGGTTTATGCAATATTATCCTGTGACTGTGCATGTACATAAAATGATAATGATATCAGCTTAAAAAATATATCTTTTAGTTTAAACCAGCTAAAAGGAATATAAAGAAAAAAATTTCCAAAGTTTGTTAATAAGCCATGCGAGGCAACATCAACATAGTTTATCATACATGTTTCAAGACAGTGAACTGGTATAATTTTTGGAAAATGTGCTTCAGTCTTCTATTTAGTGTCATTATTGAATGTAAACAATTTCTAGTGTACCTTTTTAATTGTCCTAATCTTAACTCTCAATTCTTACTTTTAGGCAACCCTGAGGCACTACTTAATACCATATGGTTAAACAATAATTTGCACTTTGGTATGAGGGGAAGGAAGGAGCATATTGACATGTTATTTGGAGACATAAAAATGATGACAAATAATTGGTGAACAATTTTTGGAGTACAATGAAAGGCTGACCAAAACCAGGACAGGACACAGTGACAGCAGAGCATTTGCACCTAAAATGTTTGCAACACCAGGTAAATTTCTTTCAATCTATTAAATATTAATATAAAATTGACAGTAAATGATAAATACAGGAACCAACACACAAGTATGCCTACTCAATTCATTCATACATATATAACTTACATGTACTTTTAAAAAGAATACAAACAAGAAAAAAAAAACACAAAATATCCCAGAATATCTAGCCACCGCGTCAAAGAAAACGGAAACATGAACAAAATGAAAAGAATAAAAATATATCACTAAAGCTAATTCATCTTAAAATAAATTTTAAAAATGTAAATATTGTTTTAATGTAATATGATATCAAGATACATGTCCTTGATTTTTTTCTTTTTCTTATAATAGGTAATCCACGCTGTCCAGTCAATGCTTTCAAACAATATATTCGCCGCCGCCCTGAAGATGCTCTGACTCAAGACAGTCGCTTTTATCTAAGTATAAAACGGATAATGCAACCTGATGCCAGTGAAAATGCTAAACAAACATGGTTTACCATGCAGCCATTGGGAAAAAATACTCTAGGAGATTTAGCAAAAAAAATGTCTATGAAAGGTGGTCTTACAGGAAGAAAAGTTAACCATAGTGTTCGCAAGACTACAGTTTCCTCACTTCTTCACTCCAGTGTGGAGGCTACTACAGTCATGCAGTTGACAGGCCATAAGAATGTTGCTTCATTCAATGAGTATAGTTCAGCATCATTACAGCAACAGCAAACTATGTCTAATATTTTATCTGATATTGGTTTAGGAAGCCGATGATTAATACCACAAGAACCAAATTCAAACACTAGTTTTGAAGCCAAACCTGCAGATTTTCCTGAGGATGATATTTTTGACAGTATTGAACTAATTGAAGTCTGCAAAACAATAGAAAATTTTGAATCTGCAGAAAAAAATGTAAAAATAACCAGTGGAAAATCCACATTTTCCATTCTTCCACAAGATTCTATTGGAAATGTTACAATAATGATTATTGTTATATATTTGTTGAATTTTTCACATCACTTTTTTTTTTCACTGTGATACAAAATTTGTTAATGCACTGTGATACATTTTTAAAATTTTTTTTATTCAAATGTTATTTTTCTTGAAAATATTAAACATAATTTGATATATGCCTTCTTTTTTCTCCAGCTTGAAAATATGTGATAAATAGATTATTACATGACTGTCATTTTCCATATTGGCCCTGTTATCAGCCCTAGACTCCCATATCAAGCCAGAGGGCTTTAATAAGTATCAAAAATATGTTCCGCCATCTTGACATTGAAAGTAAGACTGTCTAAGTTTGATTGCAAGATAAAAAAATATTAAAGCAAATATTTGCAACTTGGTAACCACCAATTGCTTCAACAGCATTTACACAGCCTTTTATTAAACTTTGTTTGGAAGAATACATTTCTCCTACTACAGAGTAAATGAAGTATTTTATATTCCTGTCATTAGGTTGGCCTTTTGTGTACCCGACTAAGGTTAAAGAAGTTGACTTTTCAGCGATGTTATTAAATGTATGGGTATAATATAATTTTGTATTCATTTATGTATAACTGCAGTGTGTATATTTACCATGTAAAATTTGAAACACTTGGAAATATTTTTTTTAAAGTATTTGAAAATGGTTCTTAGTTTTCCTCAATTTGATGTCAAACGACGGTTGTTCTGGATATTATAAACCATCCCAATAAAAGTTGGTCATGCCACCATAAGACACACATTTCTAGATCAAAATCAAAAAGTACTGATATCCAGAATCAACGCTTATTCTTTGTGTTTTATCTTAACTATACATGTGAAGTCAAACCTTAAGTTTTTTTTAAAGTTAGACCTAGTAGCTATAGTTAGACCTGACTAATGAAAAAACTGCAAGTTTGAACAGACGTCACATTTATAGTTAGTATAAAACATAATATGATCTCTTTTATTTATCAATTTTACTTAAATTGGTGTCTGTCCATCAAATTTGTTTCACAACATTTATTAAGATTGTTTCATTCTTGTTGTCTTTACGTCCAGTGGCAAATATTTCATGCATGTTCGGGATGATCGAGATCAATTAAAATTTATTTAAATTTTTGTTTGAAATAAGAACAATTCTTTTTCTCATACAAAAAAAAGGTATTTAGAAGGTGTAATACCACATGTTACATCCGGTTGCATACGAAAAAGGGTCGAAAAAAATATTCCCTTGAATTTGACAGTTGTATGAAAATAATCCTCAATTTCATTGCAATAAAAAATTTCTGAGTCATAAACCTATATCTTGGGTGTTTCAAAGCGCCATTCTTTTTTATTTGGTGTTTCTATAAAATATTTTGGAAACTTGAGGTTACATGGTTACTAAAGCTTGTAAACAGATAAGAAAGGGGTGGAAATTTGATTGGTTGACTTCTAGTGATGGTTATTATCTTAAATGCAATGAAATGTTATGTGAAATTTTGTCTATAGTACTGGACACGATACAACTTTACTCATGCCAAGTATTTTTTTATTTGAAACAAAGTTAATTCTGCACATTTTTTCTGAAAAAGTGCAAATTTAACAATGACTAATAAGGGAAAAACAATGGTGGTATTACACCTATTAAACACGCAATAGTCAAATTGATATACATGTACATCAATAAGACATTTAAATTTCCCCCAAATGATAGCAGAGTTTTTTTGTTGCTTCGTATACTGATTGCCAATAGAAATGCGACAATCCTTGTAATTTTCATTTATCAAACGTTCAAACCGACACATTTTCTTGTGATGTGGATTTTTGACGAATACTATGGATAAGGCTTGAGCACATTTCCAGCAATTTTTAGAACTTTTCGATTTTCAGATTTAAACGTTTACACATGCAACATATGAATTTAAAATAAATTAATTTTTTTCAATTTAGAAGGCAAATTTTCAAAACAATGAACCCTATAAGCCAGGATAAGGTATAGTTTAACATGCACAGATAGGCAAAAAATCATTGAGAATAAAAGTTAGGAATTAATCGCATAGTAAAACATCAAACTTACGACACATGCATCACTTACTAATTGCTGCTTCTATTTTTCATCATTTGTTATTTTAGATTAACATTATATCATCAAATTATATCCATATTTTTTGTGTGTTATTCTTCTAATTTCTCAATCAGAGCTGAATATTAACATATTAAAAGCATTATGTAAGAAAGATTATATAATAGTGCAGGGACCAGTATCAGCATACACATACAACACGTTGGTATATAGATTTACAGACAAAGACGGACATACACACGACGGGTACGACGCCGACAGAGACTTCGGAATTGGATAAAGGATACTTGACTATTTAACAGAAATAGATGCACCTAAGATAACTATTATTTCCTCACGTACACCGCCATCTGGTACAGCAAAGATAGGTTCAAGAAAAAACAATTTTATCTTAGAGGGAGTAAAGTCGGTTCTCCGCAAAATGTAGAAAATAAAACTTTAAACCATTTTACTGTTGTTTGAACTCATCTTGATAGACAATAAACATGTAGTAAAGCATGCTGAATGCTACTTTTTTTCTTCTTTCAGGTTTACAGTTTGTTAGATATTATATATTTATAGTACGGCGGCTACAAGCATATTTAAGAAGAATTGTGCACATCCTGCTACAAGCATGAAATTTGGCATAAACCTTCCTCAACTATTACTCTTTTAATTCAGATAGGGAGGCATTTAAAAAAAAGCTCTCACTTCCGGTAAAATCCAAAATGGCGGACATCATCTCCTACTCAAGTTAATTTCGACTAAAAGTATGTTTATGGCGTACTACTAAACATAACTGCATCAAATTTGGCACAAACCTTTCTTTTGTGTCTGTTTTTGATATCATATTAAGCAGGCCTTTATAAAAAATACTGTATTTCCGGAAAAATATAAAATGGCAGACAAAAATATTCAAATTTGGTATATTTTGGTAAATTTTTGTATATTGTTTTGTAAAAAGATGTTGGTATTCGGATGCATTCTTCAGTAAGTATATAACAGTCCATTTCATTCCCCGACATCAAATTCACCCGATTATTTTTAGAATGATATGAATTATAGTCAACTGATTGATCAGATAGATTAATATCAGCACTTAATTTTGTTGCTTGTTTCTGAATCTTAGTTGTGAATGTGTTTATAATTATACTTTTATTATTTATAATAAAATATTGTTTACACCAACTGAGTGATTGTAGTCTAGAGATGTCCAACAAATCATTTCAGCTCATTGATACATTTGATTAACAAGAACCAACATCATCTCAAATAGGGGAACATGGCCAATATGTGGACTGGTTTAAATGCATATTTTGTCAAACTGATAGTGGCGAAACACTCCAATGCCCTGCATCCGCAAAGCAGAGTGACACCAGTGCTGGATATAAAACATTATCCGAAAACCTTGAACAATTTAATGAGATTAACTCCTTACCAACTTGGTTAGACTTAAATAAACTAAATGATAGGAGTGGTATTCAGAACACACTGATAAAGAGCAATGCTAAATGGCATAAAAAATGTCGTCTGAAATTCAATACTACGGAACTCAAAAGGGCTCAAAAGAGAAAACATAAATATATATCCGATGATGGGCAAGCATCATTATTACAAGAGGCAAGAAAATCAACACGTCTGAGTTTACCCTGTAAAATAGGTCTGAAAGATTATGTTTGTTTCTTTTGTGATACTATTGAGGAAGATGAAAGGTTACGTGAAGCAGCGACCTATGGCATTGACAATCGTGTTCGTGAATGTGCTCAAAAGCTACAGGACACTGCCTTACTAGCAAAGTTAAGTGCAGGAGACCTTGTAGCCCAAGAGGCAAAATATCACGCGAAGTGCTTACTATATCTTTATCGAAAAGCCTCAAGAGTGGCTAATGACGATGAGTCTGAAGGAGGAACACAGTCACGAATCAGCCATGGAATTGCATTAGCTGAATTAGTAAGCTTTATAGAAGAATCTAGAGGTGAAGATAATGTTACACCAGTATTCAAGATGTCAGATCTTTCAAAAATGTATGGTAACAGATTGGAGAAAATGGGAGCCGAACAAGAAGGTAGAGTCCATAGTACGAGATTGAAGAATAGATTATTGACGTATATACCTGATATTGAGGCTTATAAGCAAGGTCGGGAAAATGTATTAGCATTTAAAGATGACATTGGCCCAGCCTTACGAAGGGCATGTGAGGAAGATTATGACTCAAATTATATGCAGATATATAAGGCTGTGAAGATTGTTAGAAGTAATATGATGGCAACATCTTCAGAATTCAATGGTACATTTGCTGCAGATTGTCAGGAAAAATCAGTACCACGATCTCTTTTAACGTTAGTGAATATGTTACTGTATGGATCAGACATAACAACTGATTCCTTTTCGCAAGAAACGTTATCCATTGCTCAAATGCTGATTTTCAATAGTCATAAAAGAATTCAAAAGTCCAACAGACATGCAAAATCAAGAGAAACACCTTCACATATGTATTTGGGAATAGTGATTCATTGCCAAACAAGGAAGAGAGGATTAATTGACAAAATGTATAAACTAGGATTGTCAGTATCATATGATCGAATTTTATCAGTATCAGCATCTCTTACCAATACAATTTGTAAGCAGTATCAAGAAGACGGATATGTTTGTCCTCCGTCGTTACGGATAGGCCTTTTCACCACTGCCGCCGTAGATAATATTGATCATAACCCTAGCTCAACGACAGCAAAAGATTCATTCCATGGAACAGGAATTTCTCTCTTCCAACATGTGACAAGTCAAATGAATGGACAACAGCGATTAGATTTCCAGTTAACCGACATCCAAGGTGGGCGAGTGACTGAAAGTTTGCCTGATTCATATGCTGTTGTCAAACCAGCTGTTTTGAAGACAAATGTACCTGTTATTCCAGTGACAGATAGTGCATGTAAAAGATGTA